TTGCCTAAACAGTGAGAAACAAATTGTTCCCATCAATCTGCGCTTTCCTCCAACCATCGCCTAACGTTTCTTGCCCGCCCGAACTCACAGATTGGAGCTGAATCTGCTTCGTGTCGCCGCCTAGAATGTCTCGTCTTAGCGAAACCCCCGTTCAAGCCATGGCTCGTTATTTACCGCTGGGCCCAGGCAGAGATAATAGAAGCTCGGTATCGGATTGCTCTAAACTCCGACCCGGAACTGGCCCTAAGGCAGTTCGATAAACCCAACGGTCCATGGCCTGCACTTGATCTGCACCCCGAGTTCCTGGCCACATATTCGCCTCTGGTCCGCCTTGGCGCTGGCAGCACATCTTTGCTTTGTCTAGCGTACAACGCCCACCTCAATACGCGTTTAGAGTGGCTCGGAGACGCTCTGGTCGCCGTAGGCATTGCCCTCTCACTGGACCGCTGTTTTCCCAATGGTACGCTTTGGTTGTTGTCCAATACGCAACAAACGCTAATCTCGAACTCGAGTAGAAAAAGTTCGATAAGCTTGATTCGAAACAGCTGTTCCATCTCACACTCTTGCATGGCCCACAGCTTCATGATGCGGACCCTGACCCAGTTGTGCGAGAGACGGTGCCGGGGTTAAGGAGGATAGGTGACTTGTTCGAGGCCTTCCTTGCCGATGTGGCACTCGTCCGAGGTCGATCCCAGCGTTCTGGCACATTCTACGATTTGCTGACAGATCTGAAGGTGTCCCGGACGCCCTGGGCTGGCTCGTTGACTTATTTGACCCGTGGGTAGACGCATATCAAACTGCACACCCGGTACTCGTCACTGCACGCGTCCAACACAAGTACAAATCATGCATCCACAGTAAAAAAAACGCGGACCTCCGTTTTGAGGGCATAAATCGCTGCTCTCGCCGTTTTCGGTGCGGAAGGCACTTCACATGCCGCCGCCGTCAGTCTGAATGGCACGCAACCGGCGTGGGTGGATTGTGTTTACAAGGTCAACTCGCGGCGTTCGTATCCGCCTTCGCCTTCCCCCTTCAAAGACGCCCAGGTGCTCACAGACGCGTTGACTAGCAGTCTCTGTCACGTCCAGTTTCCGGACAAGGCCGATAGCAATGAGCGATACCGATTGCTGGGGAAACTGTTATATAGATTCGCTATATCGTATCGTATCTCGCGTACGAGAAACTGCCGTCCACAAAGTCTGAAGAGCTCGATGACATACGACTGGAGTGCACGGATCCCGCCCTCCTGGTCTGGCTCGGCCGCCTCTTGAAGTTGGACCAGCATTTGCGTATCCTTAGGAAGGAAGGGGGCAATAGTGCCGACGTTCCCGATTCTCTTTGCGTCGAAGCGTTCCAAGCTTGCGCTGGGGCAGTCTACTTGCAGTTAGTTAAATCAATCAGACTTGTCCATTTTTTCGTTTGCTCATGCGTAGCAGATTGGGCTACACTGATCCAATGGCTCTACAATTTCGTTTGCCCATAGATCCATGATGCAGATAGGGGCGACCTACGAATTAGCCTGGCCGCTCAAAAACAGCGAGAAGATCGCAAAACGCGCCGAGAGCAGATCGCCGCAAGTCGAGCGGAGCGGAACGGGAGAGCCGTGGGGGCAAGAAAAATCCGCCCACAGACGGCGGTGTCACTTGGACTCGGAGACAGTAGGTTTTCTGGCTCGTTACTGTCGGTGACTCGCATATTGAATGAACTACGTTTCACCAGGAAACACTGCAAACCAAACAACCAATGTGCACTATATACGGACGGATCTCATTCTTGGATATATCACCCATGTGTTTCAAGCACAAGGCTAGAGGTAACTCATGAGGCCTAATATGACCTGCGAGACTTTGAGTCCATGTTTCCATATCGCCCTGCTTCCGTTCACATTCGCGCCCTTTTGGAGAAGCAAGCCGTAATGAGTGATTTTCGTTTGCTGAGCACAGTACATGCAGGATATACCCCAAGGTCCAACTGTGTTGACATCTGCTCGTTTCGAAAAGGTATCGGAAGATAGCTCTCGGCCCTCTCTCAAGGCGTCAAGAGGCGAAAGCCGTCATTCCTCCTCAACTTGAGGAAATGGCGATGTACGGTGGTGGCGGAGGGTATGGTTGGTCATGGTATGCTTTTTTTCGCTTTCGGTGGTTATCGACGATCGCTGATATTCGCCAAAAGACATTACTTGCGGAGGAAGCTCGAGGCGTGGTGGTGGCCCCTGGGACGACGTGGGACCGTGTTGGCTGTCGCACGAAATCCACCGCTCGAAACAGACACGTATCGTATCATTACCTCAATACGATCTGCGATCTTACTCTGTTCATGTTGCACGCACGAGGCGTGGAATTCGGGAAGTAGTTTTTCAGGTACGTATCAATCGATTTCTACGGCAAGGATTTTTCCCCACACGAGGATCCGGAGATGCCTTGAATTCGGCAGGAGAATTCTTCGCGCAGAATCGCACAAGTCGTCGGTTCGAGTCCCCGCGTGTCGTTCCGGACTCAGCCAAACGCCGACGAACACGGCTACACGGCTACACGGTTGTGGTTTCAACAGTGAATCTGGGCTTCCGCCCCGTAATATGTAACTGGTGTTTTGATTTCTTCTGAATTACTCATCTGCGGTGTTGCGACTGCCGTCTTCCTTAAGTAGGATGGCTGCACAGGCCACTCAACCATTCACTGCCCTCAGGTGCACAATAATACTGAATGGCCGCCCACAGTCGTCGTGTCGGATATGGTACTAGTACCCAATCGCTCGTACGTCTTGCTCAGGGCTGACGCATTCACGCAGTTCGGCTGGGAAACTCTGGACTAAAAGTCTCGAAGATGATATATGGCTGCATGGGCTACGGTTCGGCCGAATGGAAGCCCTGGGTCCTCGGAGAGGACAAATGCGTCGAGCACATCAAGTTTGCGTGAGTCACCTCCAGGCTCGTTCGCGTCTGATTCAATTGGCGTCTATATTTTATAGGTACAATTTGGGCATTCAAACATTTGACACTGCGAACGTATGTAAAGCCCCTTCACCTGGTAACCCAGATACGACACGCAGCGCAGGTCTACTCTAACGGCCTGAGTGAAGTCGTTCTGGGAAACGCCATCAAGAAACTCGATCTCCCTCGGGAAGAAATTGTCGTTATGACCAAAGTACGCATCCGCGTCTAAAACATACAGCGCTCTGCTGGAACTTAGGGATGCAGATCCGCGGCGCTGTAGGTAAGACGACCGACGTTTCTGGCTGGGACCTCTATCTAGCCGGCCCCGACAACATTGGTTATGTGAACCAGCACGGACTGTCGCGGAAACACATATTCGCTGCAGTCAAGGACAGTTTGAAGCGGCTGCAACTGGATTACATCGACGTCCTGCAATGTCTGTGGATTTTCTAAAAATTCTCCGTGTACGCCATCTCACCCGCAGTAGGCCACCGCGTCGACGATGATACGCCCGTTTCCGAAACGGTAGTCATCGTTCACGATGAGATATTTGCGCGCTAACAAAGATGGGCAGATGGAGGCGCTTCACGACGTCGTCAAAGCCGGCCTCGTGCGCTACATCGGAATGAGTTCGTGCTACGCATGGCAATGTAAGTCCAGCTTTCCACCCTCACCATCCTACGCATGATGACGCCCACCGTCCAAGTCCATGTAATGCAAAGTACGCAAGCGCTCAGCTGATCTCACAGTTTTGCCCTATTCAAGAATTCCAACACAGATTACGCCATCACACACAACCTCACGCCATTCATCTCGATGCAGAACCAATACAGCCTCGTTTACCGCGAGGAGGAGCGCGAGATGATGCCTACGCTTAAAGTAAGTTATGTTAGCTTCGATGTCTATGATCAGCTCCATTTTTATTCCAGCATTTTGGCGTTGGCTCTATCCCATGGTCGCCCCTTGCCCGGGGTTTACTCACCCGCCCGTACGGTGTCAAGGCCCAGGAAACGGTGCGCCAGGCGACAGAGTCGGACGAATACCTGGCGCATGGTAGCGGGAACAAGATTGTCCTGCAGCGGTATGACCTATTCTACTTTGTAGTATACTTCCTAGTCTTGAATCGAACAACACGGCAGTGTCGAAGAAATCGCGGCTAAGCACAACGCTACTATGGCACAGATTTCTCTCGCATGGGTCATGTCCAAGGATGGTGAGTTGGGTGCTATTTCTGTTGATGCTCAACTTTTTAAAACAGCGTATAGAAGTTACTGCACCGGTAGTCGGTACCTCTTCAATTGAGAAGCTGAAGGATCTCGTTGGTACGTGGCTCGGTCTTTCGTCGGAACACGGTTGGTTGAAGGAACACTCCAGGCGCCCTCGATATCAAACTCAGTCCAGAAGACATCAAGTACCTGGAAGAGCCGTATACGCCAATGGCTATCATGTCCCACTAGTTATTCTTTTTGTCCAAGTATTGATTGATACAACTACACCTTCAGGGATGTGAGGATTCCGCCAATTTCTTGATGGCTAGAAGCCTAGGACTGCGGTGGACAGTACACTACCCATCACAGTTCTTTATCTCGAGGGACCGAACACGTTCAGCGAAGAAATTTGATGCTTGTATTGAAGACATTTCCGAATATAGCCTGCTCGTCCTTACAGCTCAAAAAGGCAATTTGCGGTGGTGTGTCACATTTTTGGGGCTTGAGACAGCGGGTTCACGTCGTTGGGCGAATCTTTCAACGGAAGAGTGATCCAGGGAACAGATACAGGATTCACAGACATTGAGTTGGTGGGGTACCTGATTCCCTGTCGCTGCATCACCGAGGCGATTTACTGGGGAGTGGGAGTTGCGCAAAAAAAAGAGGGGCCGGATTAGTTACTAGCTTGTCGTTTGCTTTCTGAAGATCCAAAATACCTTTTCCGCCCAAAAGATTCCGGTACGGGGAATCGAACCCCGAGCTGCCGCGAAATTATCGTGATTACGTCATCCGGCGTCTGCGCAAGTTACTAGCTTGTCGTTTACTTTCTGAAGATCCAAAATACATTTTCCGCCAAAAAATTCCGGTACGGGGAATCGAACCCCGAGCTGCCGCGTCAGATTACATAAGGTTGAAAAGCGGCAATGTTGAACCGTTACACCATACCGGACATACAGAAACAATGTGATTGAAGAGTGTAAGCTGAGCCGGTATGAGAGATAAATTCTGACAGATGGTGCGGTGCGTTTGGCGTGGCGGCGTCTCGTGGTCGAGCAAAATGGCAATTGATAGAAAACGCGATTTGATTAATTCTTGCACATGTATAGAAAACGAGAGACAGCTGGATGGTGCGTAGTGACAAAAAAAAGAGGGAACTCGCGGGTTTATCATGGTGCGTACTCAATTCAATCCGTATTCTCTTCTTCCCATTGCTGTATCTCCCGACCCCACACCTGCCCCGGCTCGCGCTTCAGGTTTCGCGTGCGGTATTGGCGACCACGACACTTCGAGTTTTTACGGAGGGTGGCGAAATGCGCGGACAGATCTTCCTCGGAAAACTCAACCCCACACCCATTGCAACGATACCCCTGGATGTAACAATGTCAGACACGATACGAGGCACTACAGGCGGGAACGTACCGGTAAGCTGGACTTGTCATGTGATCGAGGACGTTAGCTGCAGGGGGGGAAAAGGCCGCAAGAAAGCGCACCAGGTCGGGGCGTTCGTTCTGAGCGAAACGGTGTTGATCAGCAGCCGAACAAAGACAAAATAGACAGAGGCATACCAGCCGTATCATCTTCTGTGCCGCACGCGTTCGTTCAATTCGATTCGACTTTGAGCTTTGCTTGCCATGGTCGAAGGCAGAGCTGGCGGTCTCTTCTGGAGCCGGATCCTGAACGACGATGTTGTAAATACGAATAGCATGGCGAAAGAAACGCACCAGGCGGATCAATTTGGGTGCCGGCTCCTCGTAATCGTCGTCCTCGCTGTCGTCATCCTCGTCCGAACTCTAGAGGATCAATCAACATATATATAAAAGAAGGACGGGGAGGCTTGAACTACACACATTTTGAGAACGACGCCGCTTGCTGGAGGAAGCCACGGGTGCCGGCTCTTCGTAATCATCCTCGCTGTCGTCATCCTCGTCCGAGCTCTAGAGGATCAGTCAATCTATATATAAAAGAAGGATGGGGAGGCTTGAACTACGCACATTTTGAGAACGACGCCGCTTGCTGGAGGAAGCCACGGGCTGCGCTTCCACAGGCTGCACCACAGGCTGATGAAGGCAAGGAAGTGTTAGTACGACGACGGAGATACTAAAGTGGGATCACCTGTTGCTTGCTCCATTCCTTGATCGACAGACGCGGGCCATTCTTGCGTTGGTATTTGTTACCACCCAACGAGACCCGTGTCATGATATGGAAATGGGTGGGCGGGACGGGAGACGTACACTCTTTCACATGAACGAGAATGTCAACGACTTGATTTCGGCACATTTCGCAGCGATGGTTGGCGTCAGCTTTGCCTTTGCGCGAGCGGGAGGTTGTGTCGCGGGAGGCCTGCGGAGCTTGAGAGTCAGTCTCAGTAAGGACGGCAAGACATGGACCGTATCACCGTCATCGACCAAGCGAGCTTCCCACCGACCTTCTCCTTGCCTTTCATTAGCGAATATTGATTTTTCTTGCCGCATTTGCCGCTGCTCGTGAGATGTTTGCCGATGTCCGCTTTCGAGCGACTACAGCCGTAACACCAACCCTTGACCGCGTTGCTGGCGTCCGACTCGCGCTGCTCCCGCCTCTGTCTAGACATAATCTTGCGTTGGGTTGCCTTAGTGAGCTTGATGGTGGGCGGTAGGACCGGTTCGGGGCCGGGTTCGTCAACGTCCATGTCGTCGTGGAGGTGCGCAGGGTCTACAGCAGGCGCATCGGGATCCGAGGGCGGCGGAGGGAGATTCAGGCGGCGGAGGATCGAGTTTTGCTTCGTACTATACAGCGGGACTCGATGGAACGCGATCAGATGGGTTTCTAAGTCGAAACGACTATATTCGTGCTTGCCGCATGACGGGACTGGACATATGTTCTTGTCTTCATCGACGTCTTGGTCATGAATTTGTAGGTGGTTATAGTAATTATCGTTCCGAGTCCACCTAGCAATAATTAGCGAGTTACGCGGAGAAGAAAGAACATCACATACTGCTTCATTCTCGCCTGAATATCTAACGAAGTATCGAAGATGCAAAATGGACAGTGCATGGGGACCAGTGGGATGCGGTCGACGACGTGGCCGTGGAATTCCGGGAGTTGGCCATCGAATCCGGAACCGTTGTCGTAGCTGACGGTATTATCGCAGGGGGGCGAAAATTCGACGTCAATGGGAACACGATCGACCTCGCCGTCGGCTCGCGATTCGAAACGCTTGAATAGAACCTTGTAGTGATCCCATAAATGACTCTGCCATTTCAGTCCATGGCCGAGATCATCTACGTGCCTGAAAAAATGTTAGGAAAAATGGATGAAAGTGAAACAGAAAACCACGAACCACTCGGGGCAGATATTACAATATTGGACCTCGATTTCCAGGCTCGCATTTATGCTGTGCGCCTCCGCAAAGTGGCGATCCCAGTCTCCATCGGTATCATCCCAGTCCTCGCTGCACTCTTCGCCGTTGACTTTCCATTCGCAGCAGGCGTCGACGTGCTCGAGGTGGTATTGGAGGTGAGTCACAAACTCGGCGCGAGTCTGGAACATCGTATGCGACTCGGCGTGTTCGCATCCAGCCCATTGGCAGCATCGAGGAATGTAGGCGGTGTCGGCTTGTTCTTGCGCCTTTTTGGACTGCGCCTCGACGAAACACTTGTGTATATGCTCGCCAACACTACCACTCTTCTTGTTGAAGGATCCGCGGCTGGAAAAAAAAGGATTGAGATGGGGAGGAGCAAGACCGGAACGCGGGACGTACCGGCAGTCAATAGAACAGACTGGGCACTTCTCATCCTGTGTCGGACACTCGCCAGGGTAACATAGAGCAAAGCGGCGAACGGGAGCACCGAGATAAGTCGTCACGGCGGCCATGACGTCTTCAGCGAGCTCTTCTTCCTGAGAATGATAAAGAACCCGGACCAACGCCGCGTGGGGGTCGATGAGGTCGTTGTCTGCGACAGACGGGGCGGGTGCTACGAGGTCGGTGTCCGCGACAGACGTGGGCGTTGCTCCGTCGACGAGGTCGGTGTCTGCGACAGACGGCGGCGGTGCGGTGAGGTCCTTGTCTGCGACAGACATGGCGGGTGCCCCACCGTTCTCCTTGCCGCTTGCCCTGACCACCGGGATTCGTCGTGGAACGAACGACTGGCGTGTGACATCGACCAAAGGCCTGCGTGTAGTCTGGGTATGATCAGGATAGCGGAATAATCAACAAGAAAAGGAACGAACCCCTGTAAGTTGGCGGAGGGATGATCCGTCAAAGAATGCCTTGCGCTTGGCCTTGAGAAGGGCGTCCTTTTCTCGGGTGACGATGGCGACATATTTGGTGGAGTGCTCGCGGAGGGTGATCAGAGCGGTCCGTAGTTGCCCATGCAGATCTGCATGCTCCTCGTCATGGTCGGCGGCAGCGGGGTCGAGGGACTTGAGCTGGAGAATGAGAGCATCTGCACGCGCGCGGTACTATTAAGACAGGTCAGTGACGACGACAATTCCGCGGGGGCGTACAACTCGCCTGCTGCGTCCGCTGTCTCATCTCTACAAGGGTTTCGTCGCGTTCCATCTCAGCGATATCATGAACGTCGAGTCTCGTCAGGGCGTCTGGATCAGCGTGCACGCTCATGGACGTGGCGGACTGTGGATTAAGAAGTTAATGTATGGCTGTGCGGTGAAGGATTTGTTACCTCTGCGAGTGCCTCCGCCTCTGGATTTCTTTCGCGTCCATGAAGCAATCCGCCCAGGTTGTACGTCAACGTCCTCGCCTGGTACGAATCCTACATGACAAGATTAACAAATTGAAAGACGAGGAAGAAAGATCAAAAGTATGACTTACTTCGTATACATGACTCCCGCCAGCGTGGCCCATAAGAGCGCGGCGCTCCGTCTCCTTCAGGATCTTGTTGAAGGTGTGCCCGGCGCCTCGCCGCCAGCCGTACGTTGTGATGTTGACTAGTGAAGCCGTGAGCGGTGGAAAGATTAATGAAAACTCGACGTACTCGGGTACCCCAGGGCGAAGAATACTTTCTTTAAGTGATCATTATGACGGCCCGCCTTCAGCGCCTTCGTCGGCGAGACGACATAGACGCCGTCCTCGACTACTTCGGCACGGAAGACGGGTTGTTTCCGGCACGCCTCGGCTATGACGAGCGGGTTTGCCCTGACGGGGGGGAACTTGGGCTTGAGGATCTCGTCGATGTGGGAAACGTCGCGCAAGGCTGCATCCTGGAGAGCCATGTATAGAATCAGAGTCCCGAAGCATGCGTGCCGGCCACCCAGAGGCTCCAGGAGAATGAATACTGTCCGAAAATGGGCGTCGATCCCGCGCTGTGCCTTGTTCAGACGAAAGGTGATCCCTATGACGATATGCGGGCGCTTGGGGTCTTTCGGGTTAGGAATTACGATGATCTCGATATCTTCCCACAAGATCGCTTCGTTTGTGTCTTCGTAACAAGAACTCTCGATGATCGCTCCTGGGCGCTGAGATGTAAGGGCACAGAGAATGTTGACGGCATTGAATTGCGCTTTTCCTCGGGTGGTGGGGAAGATCGCGGTGTCAGACCAAACGAAGCTAATGGCAGCATCGAGGTCTTGAGAAGTGGCGATGGGTTTGGGGCGCATTTTCGTGGACAGGGGGGTCGCGTCCAAAACCTCCTGCGAGTATACAAACGCCTTGAGCTGATCGCGAACTGGACGAGGGGTGAGCTGGCCTGCGTAACGAGATAGACAAGCAAAAAAGGTGTTGAGGTAGGAAACGATGGTGGCCCTGGACGCGAAATTTTCGAGTCGGCCGGCGATCGTTCCCGATAGGTAAAGGATGAACATCTTTATAGAACCTGCGATTCAATGTGATGAGCGTACGCTCAATTAACAACATGGGAACCCGAGACAAACCTTCTGAGATGTGGGCTATGCCCATCTCGAGCTCACTGGGGAGGTCGGTGTCGTGATAACCGACAAAGTCACGCCATTGCC